GATACCAATCTGACAAATACCTCAGGGAGTGGCCGAAGTGTGTGTGTGTGTGTTTTTGAAAAACACCAAGAGAATGCAACAGCTGCCTGGACTAAGACAGATGGACGGTTGGTATGGTCAGTCAGCCAAGGGAGGGGAAAAAGGTGCCAACTTGCCACACACACACACACACACACACACACACACACACACACACACACACACACACACACACACACACACACACACACACACACAATCTGATTAAAGAGCAGTTACATGCAGGCGTAATCTCATAATGGCTCCCCAGCAGCTGAAATGGACGCATCGTTTCTGAACCAGCTGTTACGGGTCTAGGGAAACCAACACCGTGCACATGTGTGAGCAACCCTGCATGATTTGGACTTCCCACATTCACAGCGTGCCAGAAATTCCTCACTGAGGGATGTGTGGGAATGGCAGGGATTCCTTGGAGCTGAGGGAGTGGACAAGAATAGGCGTCCATGACTTGGACCCTGACCTACATCCTGATCAAAGACGCTCTGACCGAAAAAAAGCTATCCAGTGTAGCTTCAGTTGACTTCATGCTTAGTTAATCAATGAATGTTTCACTGTGGGAATCTCTGAAATGGCATCACCTTGATTCTGGCATTACAGATTGATAAACTCATGTATGCAAGCACATTTTCTTCCTATGATCCAAATGTTAAGTGTTCAGGTTGCTAGGAGATGAGGCTCAGTATTTAAAATGGTTCAAAAAATGTTATCACAAGGACGTAACGTAAAACAAATACTAAAAGTGGCACGGTTTATCATGCAACTCGGTATCCCTGTACTGACCAATCAGGTACCAGCACCAATTGAGTACCGGGTCTCAATACCCATGTCAGAGGCATTTCCTTCTCTAAAACTACAACACTAGAATAAAACTATAAAAAAAATAGTATAAAATTATCATTTTTAAATGATCAACATGCTCTCTTCAATAGATGTATTCCGTAAACAAAATTATAACATTAGGAGATTATACTGTTTCATTCATAGAGTTGTTTGATTTCAGAATGGGGAGATACTAGGGTTGTAACGTTTTTACATATCTCCCAACCCTAAGACAAACAGGCTGCTGTTTTTGCACTGTTTAAGCTTAAGGCTACTGATGTTACTGGGTGTTTCTGAATGTCGAGGACGCTTCCTTGGTAGGACAAGTCCCTCAGAGTCAGGTCCTTCGGAAGGGATGCAAGAATCCTTCCTAGCCTCAGAAAACGAAAGATTGTGGAACAGGCCAACCGGTGTGCGTCATATGCGAAGCCCCGCCTTAAATAGAGCGCGATTTCCGCCAAAGATTTGGAAATTGGTCCGTGCGCAAAGCATTGTGGGGATTTTAAGACCGCGGAGGATACACATGTGCAGCCTCGAAATATCCCGCAACGAAGGACGCCGGCCTCGGTAGAATTCCAAGCATCCTGGACATTGGAACAGTCATTCGGCGGGACTCGACGACGTAGCATCCTTAAAATAGTGGCTCTGGAGCAGCCTTCCTCGACATTGAGAAACACCCACAGATATCTCCGAGATACTACTGTAGAACATGACATACCTTTTAAAGCCACTCTACATACTCAAACCCATAAATTCATAAAGCTAAATGTTCCTTACACTTGGATTAATGTTGGGTTACTACTGCAGGCGAATGGACAAGCGAATGCTATATCAAACTAGATAGACATACTGATTAACATGTGATTGTGCTTTTGCTGTTGGAGAGGCTGAAACAATCAGCTGCCATTTAAACTGTTTACCTGCTGGGATTCACTCATACTGCACACGGCTTTCACATGCAGAGAAATTAAAAGCTAGACAATTGCCTGGTTACGGTTGCCCTGCCACGGTTAGAGAATCAAAAGTCAGTCGTCAGTAAATTACTGCTAATCTGGATGCGTTTTACAGTACAAAGACATGTAGTGCTACTGTCTGTGCCTGGAAGTTGGCGCTGGTCGTGTTGAGCGCATTCATTTTCCAGTCATTACACACTTTTCCGACACCCTAGGCAGTTTAAAAACATGAACCCCCTGTATTTGTGGTTCTGTAATTACTACTGTGGCTACAATCCCGCCAACTAAAAATTAGCAGACGATTTCAGATAAATGTTAGAATGTGGCAGGTGTCACTTATTGTGTCAGAAAACAGAGGCTGAGACACTGAGGGTGTTATAGGTGATCACAGCACTGTTCATCAACTCCATTCTCCTATTATGTTTACTTCTTTATAATGTTCTCATCTGACTCGCTGCTTTTTAGTGCTTTGTGTTTTTATAAACAGTCAGCTAAACGGTCTTGTGGTTTCCCTGGCAGCTGTCCACCCGCCCTTGTTCCTATTAAATAAGCTTTGATTGGCTGCTGAACACGGACATTGATGAAACAAGAGGGGCTAATCTGATTGGCTGTTTTGAACCGACACAGCTGTGCTACTCTAACAATGCCCTTACTGTGGGTACAGCTGGCACCGGCTCTGCCACTGTATACACGAAACAACAAGTGAGTAACTGGTTAACAAGTCAAAACAGGTCATTACGCCATATTGTTTCAGTACCCGTATTTTAAGTTGCCATTTGTGCCAAAAATAAATTATTTTCCTATTCTTTAAAAGAAAATCAGGTTTAAATATTCAGTTTTTACATAACAAGTTGAGTCTCCCTGGGGTAGCATTTTAAACTGCATAACACATCTCTTAAACTAGCTGTTTAAGGCAGAAGGAGGCAGGATATGTTACAGCCTGACACTCCTTAACTTGTGAATACAATTATGCTTAACACCCCTAGAATAATTCCTCTGGAGATGATCGAAAAGGTGCCATTTTTAAAAGTGATGTTGGTGTAGTACTTGCTGCATTGAAAATCAGGCGTCAATGAAAACTGGGTATCATTATCTAGAAACACAGAGCTGACAGTGTGAGCGATTAAACAGCCTGGGTGTTTGTTTCCAGTCCACTCTACTCTCCACCTCCTCCCATTTTCTTATTTTTTGTCCCCAAATCTGAGTTTGTGCCTGGGAAACACACCATCTTTCCTTTGCCTCCGCCTCTTTTTGTTCTCTCCATCCGTCCAGACCTCTAATAGCAGGGTAGGCTAACCGAGCGGAGAAACAGGCCAGGGTTACCCCAGCGACCCAAACACAGCAGGGGAGGAGCAGAGAGGGAGGAGGGAAGAATGAGAGAGAGAGAGAAAAGACGGCCTGTTTTTGGTGCCAAGAGTTCATTTGTCTGGGTCTTTTAATGCCACCTGATGTCATTCAGACAAACCGTGACGAAACAGAGAGAGAGCACTGTTGGCAACTCTTAGATTTATATAGAAATGGGATAAAAAGAGGAAAACAACAACAACTCTATTTGAGTGTTGTTGTAAATACTTCCACAGTCCCTTCCGTCACCAGCTGAGATTCAGTTTTCGAGTCTTGTTTGCAGCTGTTGACTCCGACTGCATTCACCATCTAAAGCCAACAGCAAGCCTTTTTCAGTTTGAGCTATCGGCACGGATACGCCATCTGGAGGCAGCCATGAAATGAAATCTCAGCTTGCAGAATGCATTGATCACTCAAAATGCACACATATTTAAATTCAGCAGCAGAGCTATATTTTTGCCTCATGAAACAGAGACGGACGAGGATGAAAATACTCAAGCTCACAACACTCTACTCCTTGAAAAGCATTCTCCGGCACATCTGTCAAGGTCCAAAGGCATTTACATATATTACATAACTGCACTGCTCCCCTCCCCTTGCAACCCACTCTTCAGCTGCCCAGTCAGACCAGTGGCTGAGGAGTCCAGGCCAACAGATGGACAGGCCTAATCCCCCCCCCCCCCCTCTCTAACCCAGGAAGTGATAACTGGCAAGCACCAGGAAGATAAGAAACACACTTGCCCTGACAGTGTTGCACAAACAAGCTGATCAGTGGCAATGAAGCCAAGTATTGTCTAGATTTAATTGCATTCATGGTTTTTTGTTCATCTCCTTTTTTCTGCAGGCGCTAGAGCTGTCTTCATTGGGGCCCTCGGGTACCAGAGCAACCTGCCAACTCACTGCTCTCTTTTATATCTAGGGTTGGAGGGGTTTCCTTCTGATAGTTATGGACCAAAGCTACTGAAAGTCAATCGTTTTTCTGTGTCTCTTTTTTATATTAGAAGGCATTGTCCATTAAAGATTAAACGTACCCCTGAAGCACGGGGGAGTAATAAACTTATACTAAAGTGGTCATATGTCTCCCTTTAAATGTCACATCAGAGGGGAGCAAATATAAATCATTACATTACTTAAAAACAACAGGAATGTCAAGTGTGACTGAGACGGAAAGGTCATTTTAGGATGAGCTAATGGCAGACTGGGTGATTAAATCATAATGGGCGATACAGCAGAAGCAACTGGACAAATCAACTCCATAACCAAATTATAGTCTGAGAAATATGGCTGGAAACAATCCTGAGAGGATGAAAGCTACAGAACCTTTCCATCTGAACTCATCGTTATCTCATCATATGAGAGTCTGCTGTCGCTACGGAGATTGGGTGCTAGACACAGGTATGGAGGGAGGGGGGCTGTCAGTGAGATGTGAAAAATCACGATGACAATGACCTGTCTTTGTCAACGGGAACACTGAAATATTAATCGTGTGTGTGTGTGTGTGTGTGTGTGTGTGTGTGTGTGTGTGTGTG